GTGCCGACCCCCCCGCCCCCCCCCCCCCAGTCTCTTCATGGAAGACCTCACTCTCCCTGGGAAGCAGAAAGGGTATGGGATAGGCAGGGTGTTAGTCGGGGGCAGGGGAGGAGGGGAGGGAGACAGATTGACATGTAAAATAATCTTGTTTCTAATTTAAATAAAAAAAATGGAGGAAAAAAAAGATACTTTCAGAGTCAACCCTCTTTTCCTGCCTTCTTTCTTATCACTCCCACCACCTATTATGCCAGTCTGAGACGATTTAGAATATGAACTCAAAGCTCCAACTTTATGTTGGGATAATCTTTTTGTACACTGTGGGAAGATGTGTCTCTATTCTACCTCATCTGCCTAAGGCACCTTCTGATTGGCTTAATAAAGAGCTAAACATCAAATATTTCCACAGGAGCAGGTAGACTGGACTTCTGGGCAGAGATAGGGACATTGGAAAAGAAGCTGAGGCATGAGATTCACCAGTCAGACACAAAGGAAGTCAGGTGAACAGCATTGAGGAGAAGTAACAAGCCACGTGCCTTATTCTATTTCTTTTCATTTCTTTCTTTTTTCAGAACCATGACACAAAGTATATTACTGATGATAGAGACTTCTGATCTCCATGGATTTTATGTAAATATTTTATGGAGGCGCCACCTGCCCAGCTCTTTGGTTTCCATCCCCAGTGGGAAATTTGTTTCTGGATTCATGCCAGGACTACTTGCCACTTGAATCAGTGAAATAGCACAAGAAAAAATGTAAGTCCATTAAACATGACATTAAGATATCATGTAAAAACTTTGCTACTATTTGCTAATGCCAGTAAATGTGAGTCAGGAGCTGAACGTTGAGGAATTACAATCATTGTTGTGGGAATACTTCAGATTAATGAAAGGTTTGCTTCTATCTATGTTTTCATGTGTTCTTAAGCATACTTTAATTTATGTATAGTGTTTGCTAAGATAATAAGAATATATCTCAATTTTTTATCTAAACACTGACTTCTTTTAGCTTTTATTTCTAAATCATGTTTTGAAAAGTCTGCTAAAATCAGGAACTTGTTAATGTAAGCTATGGATTTAAAGAAAACTTTTTTTTTTGTTAGTTAATAGCCCTTGATAGAGGCCTTTTTTTTTATCACTTCTCTAGTTGTGAATACTAACATTTGTATTTGAGGGTCAACTATTCCATATATGCCAATCTTACTCTAACATACTTTCAAAGGTTCAAAATGTGTTAACATATGAAAATTCATAGTGTTACTGCAGCATGAATAAGAGCAATTATGAGACTTTTTTGGGTATAAGTATACATGCTGTAAAATTAATGTATATGATTATACAATTTAAAAGTCAACCTCATAGTAAGTGATTGAACAATTGTTTATAAGCTTCTTTTTCTAATCTTCGATAGATTATTGAGTAGTAGACAAGCATGTTTCTCACTCCAGTGACCCTAAGTCACTTAAATATATTCTTAATATTTTAACTTTCAAAATCATAAAGTTGGAATAGTCTTTCCTTCCTTCTTCTATGTCTATGCTGTATTTTAGTTAATATGTCACAGTCATAACAGTCTATGATTAAATAAAGATAACTGAAGGTTGTCTAAATTCTTAATTTTGTTGTTTAAATAGCAGATATATTTAAATTGTCTTGTATTGTCTTCGGGTTTTACAAATGCATGTACCATTGCACATATAACTAGGGTTCTTTCAAAAGGAGGATTCTTCACTAAAGAGTTAAGAAGTTTCTACTTGCATTTACATATTGATAAAGATTGAAAGGAAGAAGGGAAGTTTGAGAAAAGAAAAAAAGGAATAAAATAGGAAAGAAAGAGTGAACTAATGAATGAAGGAAATAAGAAACAGAAGGAAGGAGGGAAGGAGAGGTGGGGGCAAAATGAGAGTCTAGTGTTATTGCATTTAGTAAATACAAGCAAAATGATGACTGACTTTGACAGTTAAGCTGCGCCTCCAAGCATTTCTATCATCTTATGAACAAGCAACAGAGCACATAATGACATGAGGTTATTGTGTAAGGATAAAATTGCCTAAACTGAAAGATTCCCTATCATATATAAAATTGCATATATATGCATATGTATGTAATGATATATGCTACTTTTTCTTTAGTAAATAAAACTAGCCATTCAAATCAAATAAACTTTAATATGTGCTCAAAGTTCATTCAAATATCTTTACATTAATATCCTCCATAGGTTATATATTCTAGAAAGATTACAATGTATCCAATAAATACCAACCATTTATGGTCACAAATTTAATGACAGTAAACAGATGATAAAATCAAGGGGGAAAATCCAAAATGAAACTTCTCTTGATTCTAGGCATCGTTCTGGAATTTCTGTTTTCCCACATAGAACTTAGAGGCACAATTTGTATTTATTACAGATAAGTATAATGAAAATCCTGACTGAATTGAGCTATTCAATGGGAAGACTTTAATAATAGCAATGGATTGACTGTTTATGTTCATGATGTTTTACAAAATAAAATGAGCAAGGTAAGTTTCCTTCCATGCTGACCCAGCAGTTGTTTTTACTAAAACTCTGACCCTTCAATTTTTTTTATTTTTGCCATTTTCCAGTTTTATCTTCCTATTAGCTATGAAGATTGAGCAGCAGAGGAATTACTCAGAGGTAACAGAGTTCATCCTGTTGGGATTTGGAGCCCCTGCAAAGTTTCAAGTCTTCTTATTCTTAGTTTTCTTGGTGATCTACATGATCACCCTGGTAGGGAATATCAGCATGATAATTGTCATTAAGATGGACTCCAGACTCCAAACACCTATGTATTTCTTCCTTAGAAACTTGTCTTATTTAGATCTCTGCTATTCCACAGTCATTGCTCCCAAAACCTTAGCCAACTTCTTGACAAGTGAGAAGAAAATTTCCTACAATGGTTGTGCTGCCCAATTCTTCTTCTTTGCATTGTTTGTTACAACTGAAGGCTTCCTTCTTGCTGTCATGGCATTTGATCGATTCTCAGCCATCTGCTCCCCTCTCCTTTATCCTGTGCACATGTCACAAAAGGTATGTGTTCAGTTGGTATCTGGCTCCTACATTTGTGGATGCATCAACTCCGTAGTACAAACAGGTTTCACCTTCAGCTTGCGTTTCTGTGGAGAAAACAGGCTGGACCACTTTTTCTGTGATGTCCCAGCTCTGATTAAGATCTCATGTGTTGACACCTTCGTGAATCAGATCGTACTGTTTATTCTCTCTGCTCTCATCATCATCTCCACCACAACAGTGATTCTGATTTCCTACGGCTACATCCTTTCCACTGTCCTGAAGATCCCCTCCACCCACGGCAGGAATAAGACCTTTTCTACCTGTGGCTCACATATAGCAGTGGTGAGTTTATTCTATGGAACTGTGTTCTTCATGTATGCCCAGCCTGGGTCCATCTCCTCACCAGAGAAAAGCAAGATTGTAGCTGTGTTCTACACCCTTATCATCCCAATGCTGAATCCTCTAATATATAGCCTAAGAAACAAAGACGTGAAAGATGCTGTGAAAAAAATATTAGGTGGAAAATGTTCTCAATGATATTTATGAAATCTTTATTTAGTGAACAAATTTATTTTCTAACTTGTATATGACAAAATATAATTTTATAAGTTTTATAGAGTAATAATTCTATTACAGATGCATAGAACATTACTTGTACTTAATATGTGAAAGCATATAACTTCTTGCTTTATAATATAATTTCTTTGGTTAGTAAATATGAAAATTTGTACTTATGTAATTGTTAAAAATTATGCCATGTATGTGTATTACACTCTTTTTATTATAAGTTCAAAGGCATTGTGATAGTGGCTAAGTGAAATCATGATTATAGAGTACATTTTGTGGTCCAAGTAGCCACATTCTAAGAACTATCATACTTAGAGTTAAAAAAAATATATGTGAAGCATTTCTTCACACAAATATATGGCAATAGTATTCTGTTAAACTGTATTTTCCCATTCCCCCTCTAATACAAAGTATTACACTACATAAAATATTGTATAGCTGTTTTCTATTAATTTAAACATGTGCTCCTGTGGGAAGGATAAGAGCTCATAGGACTCTATAAGCTAAATGAAACTTAATGACTCAGAAAGTTCATGAAACTTAATAGGCTTTGGCAGTTAAGAGTTCCAAGGATATAAAACAGTAAAGAACTTCTGTGGAGATAAGACTCTCTTTAGTGGAGCTGGCCACACATTAAACAGAAAGCTCATGGATGTAACTTTCATGAGTTGTAAGAGTAGGGTAGATTTGGGGGTTGTTTAGTTACCTTTGTAGCAATTATCCTCCTATAAACACCCTCAAATAAATTAATCAGTCTAACAAACTAGACTTGGGTGGAATCATTGGGATAAGTAAATATTTATTCATGTCTTCACAGAAAAGTCACACAACACAATTGGTACTCAAAGAGGGACCAACCAATAGATGCAAGGATGAATTGGGAGGCTCTTGAGAAAGATGACAAGACTTGTGATTGAGACTGATTCATCTGAGAGTGAAGTGTTCATTGGAGCAGTCTGTATATGTCTACAATTCCCTATATGTTAGAAATGGTGTGCCTCTTTGCTGTTGTGACAATTGGATACTCTTTGTGATAGGATATGTCACACAACAAAGAATAATGCATCAAAGAGTGGATTGTAAGGGGAAGTCCCACATAGTTTTTCTCTATGATGAACATGGTAGCATGCATCACTGACAAATGGGAACCACTTCATAAGTACAAGGATAGCAACAAATGGGTGTAGACTACAGGGTCTATTGTAGTTATCGAAAGTATATAAGGGACGGAAATGTAATCAAACTCTGGCAACTGTATCATGACATTTATCATAGACATGGAGCCAAGGCACAGATACCTGTCCTGAGAAACTTAGCTCTGTAAGAAACGAATTACAGTAGGGAAAATGCATAAGGATGCTTAATCATCAGCCTGAAAGTTATCAGAGAATGTGGTAAGAAAGAAGGATGACAAGAGAATATTGGTTTTTCGTTTATTATAGCTATCATAATACAAGGGCAAGATCGTACAAAGTAGAAATGTGTTAAACATTCCTTCCTGGGATCCAAAGACTTGGAACTCATGGGAAACCGAGGAGAAAAGATGAAATTATAGAGCATACCATTTAGGTCTAATAATGATAGGAAACTATGATTCTGAATACTCTGTATCTGAACTGCTTTAATTATGGAATAAATAAGCAAAGAATGAAAGAGTCTTTTAAAGCCTCTATTCTGGGGTTGGGGGAGGTAGGGTTGAAAGGAACTCGGAGTGCTTTGGAAGCAGAGAAACAAAGTAGTATGTCTACCATTCCTTGCCTGAGACAGGTTCTATAACCTGAAGCAGTGAAAGGGAACTCATTCTCTGAAAGACTAGGTATAGGAGCCAAGGAGCATTTGGTTATTTCTCTCTGAGGCCATGAATACAAGAAATTGGAGGAAAATAGAAGAAGAATCAGCATACTGAAGTAACTCAATATGTATGCTGTAGCATTTGATGCTCAGTTCACAGAGGAGTTTTAATAAAGGAGTTGATACAGAAGAGACCTTGGGACTGGTATTGAGTGTTAGGAGATTTGCTGAACTTCATAACTGGACATGATCTTTATGAAGTAGAAGAGGTTCTAAAGATCTGGATTAATTAGTCCCTCATTTAAATTGGTTTCATAAAGCAGTTGGTGGAGAAAAAGCATGGGGTAAAACAGATAACAGTGCTCATCTGGGTCTCTTGAAGGTAAATGTGGAAAGATTTTTATTTAGCAAGATGTCATAAGGAAGATGCTGACAGAGAAACAAGTGATATGTCCTTCATCTTCTGTATAAAGCCCAGCAACTGTTTATAGAAGAAACACAGGGCATAACAGCTCAGCCTGTGAAGATTAAACAATTTTCCTCCCCCAAAGAGTACACTGTTTACATATATCCCAAGCATAATAATAATAATAATAATAATAATAATAATAATAATAATAACAGCTGAGAATGTCCACCTAACCTGGAGCACACTCAGCAGGTATGTGTGGCCAATGCAGAGGTAAGATTGTAGCCCTGTTCCATTTCTGAGCTTTAGTTGCCTGAGTAGTCCCAATTGGCCCAGCCAAGACCACTAGAAATAAAGAGATGTGCAGTGATCCTACAACAATAACCAAATACCAAGATGAGGGTTCATTCATAGAAAATGACTGTGGATTAGAGAGTGCTAGATATGGTAATATACCCCATATATGCTGATGAGCCCCAACGTTGATCTTTTGAGTAATGTTTCATTCAAATCATGGGATCTTTCATGCTGTATCAAACCATGCTAATGTTTTATCTTATTATTTTATTACCTACTGAATACCCAAACCAATTGGAACTTGCTTGCAATGGAAGATGGAAAATTTTTGAGGATCCTGTTTATTCTCTTTTAAATTTTATTTCCATGATATGTTGTCCTTTGAGTGTCATATGGATTTTGAAGCTCCTAGAGGGACAAAAATAATTGAAAAGTTTTAACAAAAGCACCATACATGTGTGGGGAAAAAAAGAACTCTGAGAGATGGCTCAGAGGTTAAGAGCACTGACTGTTCTTCCAGAGGTCCTGAGTTCAATTCCCAGCAACCACATGGTGGCTCACAACCATCTGTTATGAGATCAGGTGCCCTCTTCTGGTGTGCAGATGTACATGAAAGCAGAATGTTGTATACATAATAAATAAATAAAATCTTAAAAAAAAAGAACTCCGAGAAGCCATAATGTTGTTAGATGAAAATGTCAGTGCTAGGGTGAGCTACCTCCCTATGAATTATGATGAGGGAGGCCTCCCAAACCATAAGGCTATTGTTACTGCTGTTGATTCCATGCCAGAACTATAGACTAAGTCAATTTGTTGAGGATACTGCAAGCTTTGGTTGCAGGACATGCAGAAATCAAACTGATGATGGAGGTGGTGGTATATGCTAGCTGACTTCCTTGGTTCCAAAGTGTACTTTGTTCATTGTTGGGGATTAATTTTCACTCACAATTCTGATCAGCTGTGGACCCTGCATGCTATGCTGCCAACATGTCAGGCAAGAAAGATCAATGATACAGTATTGATTATTATGGGTTCAGCAAACTTAGGTTCAAAGCCTGCTTCACAGATACTTTAAGACAGGACAAAAATCTGTGAAGAAGTCATATGCCACAACAACAAGAACACAGCTACTTTCTTCTTCTTTTTAATTAATTTTTAAATTTAAATTAAAAACAACCTTAATTTACATACCAATCCCAGTTCTCTCCCATCCTCCCATTCACTCTCTCCCTCACCATCTCCCTATCCCTCAGAGAGGTTGAGGACTCCCAATGGAAACCATCAAAGTCTGTCACATCATTGGGGGCAGGACCAATGTATTTGGTCCTGTATTTAGGCTGAGACAGTATACCTTCATAGGGAATGGGCTTCAAAAAGCCAGTTCATGCACTAGGAGTAAATACTAGCTCCACTGCCAGTGGCCCCATATACTTCTCAAGCCCCTCAACTGACACTCACATTCAGGGGGCTTGGTTCAGTCTTACGCAGGTTCCCTAGCTGTCAGTCAGGAGTCTGTCAGCTCCCACTTGCTCAGGTCAGCTGTTTCTGTGGGTTTCTCCCACATGGTCTTAACCCCTTTGCTCGTCACTCCTCTCTCTCTCCAACTGGGTTCTAGGAGTTTGGCTCAGTGCTAGCTGTGAATCTCTGCTTCTGCTTCCATGAACTGCTGGATGAGGGCTCTATGATGGGATTTAAGGTAGTTGTCAGTTTCATTTGAAAGGGCATTTAAAGTAGCCTCTCCACTATTGCTTAGATTCTTAGTTGGGGTCATCCTTGTGGATTCCTGGGCATTTCCCTAGTTCCAGGTTCCTTGTTAAGCCCATAACAGTTCCATCTATAAAGGTATTTATTTTCTTGCTCTCCTTCTCTATCCTTCCCCCAACTCGATCTTCCTGATCCCTCATGTTCTCCTTCCCCCCTCCTCTTTCTCCTATCCACCCCCATGCTCCCAATTTACTCAGGATATCTTGTTCATTTCCCCTTCTCAGGGGGCCCAAGTATGATGTCTCACTTAGGGTCCTCCTTGTTTCTTAGTTTCTCTGGGGTTGTGGATTGTAGGCTAGCTATCCTTTGTTCTATGTCTAATATCCACTTATGAGTGAGTACATACCATGTACAGAAACTAGAGACAATCATTGTTGAATGCTGTTATGGATATGTAGCTCTGGTACATAACATATTTGATATTTTGGTCATTATTTTTAGAAATGTTCTGTTTCTATTTCATTTAACATTTTCACCAATTTTGTTATAAAAGAGTATATTTTTTTTTAAAAAAAACTTATCATGCATTAGAATTATTCCTGTCATCCTTTCATATTTATTTTTAGGTGTCCTCTTGGTAGATCTGCAGTCTCCTAGGAAGAGTGTCTTATTACCCACCTTGTACAGATTCCATTGGCCTGTGACTCTGCCTGTGTGTGATTTTTCTCAACTGGGTTAATTTAAGTGGGTGGACCCATGCTAAAAAGGG